CTAAAAGTAGGTTTTTACATGATAACGTCAACATTTTTAAAGGTATCTTATACTGCTGGATGTGGTCATTTTTATTGTATTCAGTGTTTAAAAGAATCTAATGGAGATACAATTTTTACTAGAAACTTTACACTTATTATATTTCAATACCAATCATAAACTGATTTGATTTGACACACATTATTATATCACCTGATAAAAAATCAGTTAACAAGCGTACCTACTAAAAGTAGGTCTTTTATACGATACCGTCAACAATTTTTTAACATACCTTGTACTGCTGGATTTGGAAATTTTCATCGTCTACAGTATTTAAAAGAATCTAATCCGAAACACTTATTATATTTCTCTTCTAAGCATGAATTGCTTGTTTTATAAATCTAATCTAAACTATACTTTAAATTATACATTTAAATAATAAAAAAATATAAAGGTAAAATTAAATAACAAAAACAATAATCATCATCGATAAATAAAAATAAACATAAGTTATGCCTTGGGCTTTATAACAGAAGTAAGAATCTTACTAGGTACCTACCTACTGTGTGGCAATAGGGTTGATGACAAAACCTTTTTTTCTTCGTCGGCCAGGTAGATTAATAAAAGTATTGGACAAGTATTTATTTCTTATTCACATAATTAAAACATTACAGAGATATGTTGATTCTTAACATGTTTATGTGATGACATATGACGATTAATTGACATGTTTAAATGGAATTAATGTTTTGGAATGATTAACTATAGTGTGACCAATTACAATATTAATATAAAATAATTTGATATTTGCATACTAATTTAGCGAATCATGTTTGAGCACCATATGTATTGTAACATCTTTTTATTGTACCATGTTTCTTGTAAATAAATATGAATATAAATATGATATGAAATTTCCCATGACGTCACGTCTTGGTACAATTTTTACTTAGAAGTGACTTTACAAGCCTTCTCTCCCAAACTTTCACGCGCTCTATCCTTTTGGTATTAGTTTCCAAAACATAGAACCATTCTAAATCGAAAGAAGTCTTAAGGTACTGACAGGTTAAGGGATGACTGTGTATAAAGAATATTGTGCCAAAAACCTGGCAATCAATTAACCCCGATTTTAATACACCATTGAAGTACACATTGTTCAATAATTTTTTCTACATCTATTACATTAAATACCAAACTGATTGATTTTCTTTTGTATTTGTTTTATTTCGGTAGTAAAATCGTTAATTCAATGAAGCTAAAAATTTCAAGATAATTTTATATATTCATGGACTGTTAGCGGTACGAATTTCGTCGGTTCAGCAGCATATTTACAAAAATATATGCATTACAAATATACTTATAAAAAAGATTATGCTAATTAGTTATGCCAATGCTCATGGTACAATAGTATTTACACACCAAAAAAGGAACAAATTATTTAATTTAAAGCACTTATACATAAAATTTGAAATCATTTTTCTTCAAATAAAGACAATTTGTTTCTCTTTTAAAATCAATCTAATTAAATTCATCTATCAAAAAGCGCAAGATAGAATATCTTGGCCACGTGCTCAGGAACGATAGATACATGCTGCTGCAGTTGATAATGATAGGCTAAGTGGACGGAAAGAGACGTGCTGGGCGAAGAAAAAAGTCGTGGCTCCCTAATATCCGGGAGTGGACCGGTATTGCCTCCGTCGAACAGTTGTTCCGGCTGGCTGCTGATAGAACAACATACAGGAAGCTAACGGCCAACCTTCAGGATTGAAGAGGCACTGGAAGAAGAAGAAGATTACAAAAACAATTTTAAACCCTACAAAGAATGAAAACGCCATTTCTGTAAGTACAGAGTATATTAAAGCTAAAATGTCTGAAAAAATAAATAAACCTCTTCGAAGAAACCAAAATGTAATGAGTTTAATAAATGCAGCATATTTTTTACCTACATAAATTAATATTCCAAAAAAAAAATTACGAAATAATTTTTTGTTGACTCTACCCAATTTTTACTCTCGACTGACATTACAATGGCAAATATTCGCGCTTATGCTTTTTCTCCCTCATACAAACGTTTACAAGTGTTGTTGTCTTTTTCTTAATAACAAATACCGAATAAGATTAAAAACAAACAGCATTTTTATGAAAAAATATATTTTATAGTACTTACGAATGAAAAGTGATGCCGTCGGTTTTATTTTTAGTACTTGAGCAATTTGAGCACTTTTTAAAACAACACTTAGGCATTGTTTTATCTTATAATCACAAAATTTTAGCAATATTTCTTTTTGACGTTCACATGTACGTCATTTGCATGTCAAGTTGTGACTAAAGCGATTGTGGCCTTGGGCCACAATTGATGCGGATCACTTTTGTGAGGCTAGTGCCGTATCTACCCTTTTTGTTTTAATCTAAGTAACAATATCGTTGTCCTAGAAATATATATGAAATATTAATCTATCAAAATAGCTTTGACATGAATGTCAAAAAATATGTACGTACTTAAACAAAATTCATTTGCATCGATTTTCCCATCGAAATAAAATATTTTCCCGCAGTAAAATGTAGCCTATGTGTTAATCCAGGGTATCAGCTAACTCCACACCAAATTTTATTAAAATCGTTCCAGCCGTTTAGACGTGAAGAAGTAACAAACATACACACTCACATACTCATAAACTTTCGCCTTTATAATATTAGTGTGATTCGTAAAGTGGAAAAACACTCTAGTTTACTTCATGTTTGAGAATTATAGTCAAATATTCATCATCATCATCATGATGTCAGCCGTATGACGCCCACTGCTGAGCATAGGCCTCCCCCAAGGATCTCCACACCGATCGGTCCTGCGTCACTCGCATTCATCGGCTTCCCGCGACATTCACAAGATCGTTGGTCCACCTTGTAGGGGGCCTGCCCATTAAGCGTCGTCCGTTAAATATTAAAGAGATTAAATTATAGGGTATCTTGGAAAGGCAGACTTCCTTGCTTCTGATGAAAACTAACCTTTATAGAGCCCGCTCTGCTTATCGCTAAGCTCGTACAATAGAAACACAACCTAAAAAGTTTTAGATAACAATCGATTTGTGCTGTATCATTGGTGGTTTCGTCTGTAATTTAATATGTTATATGGTATAAAAAAAACTTCGATTGTGCTTTTAGTAAAATAGTGACTCATAATGTTGGCAGACATTTTAATTAAATTTAGAGTAGGTACTAAATTGTAATAAGTAATTCTTCCGTAATATCAATCGGTACTTAAACTTGAAGAACCGTCTTAGTAAAATTGTAGAATTGAATACGAAAATAGATAAAAAGAAAAGGACATTGTTCAGCGTCCATACATAGTTAGCCTAAGAACCAACAATCATGAAATATTATTTTCTAGGTTCAAAATCGTAAGTAAATGACTGTTAAAAGAAAGATTATTGACGGACACTTCTGAGAGCTTAAATTATTAGGAATACTAAAAATTTTTTGAGGTTATGTTTAATATTCAATGAAACATAGGTCAACCTATGAATTTAGTATGAAGTGAATTAATATTACAACTAATTCATTTTATCAGGTGCGATTTTAAAGAAAACGATTAGGAAAAACTTGGTAAGGTAGGAATCATGAATAAAATAAAAACTGTAGTTTTGCTTCGTATTTATTGACTATTTTTCACATAATTGTATCATATTGTATTTATTTGTATATCACATGTATATTGTGTAAATATGCAGCGTGAATGTGTATCAGGTGTTCTTGAATAATTTGGCAGTATGATCCTCTCAGGATGTTGTGGCACAGGTTCACTAGCACTTGGTAATAAGGGCTCTGCTCTTTGGTAACATCGATGGCATATTAGTAAGCCGAAATAATTAATGGAAACGAAATAGGCAAAACAATCGCAAATAAACACACACAACAGGTAATCCGAAACGAGAATGCACTTTCCAGTATATTAGACTACTCTTTGGAATGCACGAATGTCACAGATTACTACGAATGCAAACTGCCTGCATCACAACCACAGAGTAACGAATTTTATGCCGGCCCTTCACTTAACATGAGTTTGTTCTTGTCATGCTTAATAAGGAATGAAAAGGACAGACTGATGTCATGTTTTAAAATAGCAAATACGAATAGCCAAGTGAAGTGCCGGCATTAGGAAGAAAGAGTGTTTTGTTTGCAGCGCTGCCATAAATTATACACATAAAATGGTATTTATTGTCTCAGATTGTATTTAACTTTTTAATTTAGCTTACTTAACTGGAAGTGTCCGTCACAATCTAAATACTGATAATTATCGCAAAAAATATACTAGGAATTATCATAAATGCCAAATTGGTGTTGGTTCTTAGGCCAATTTTAACATTGTCCTTTAGTATCCAGTTTTCTCTATTTGTTTCTATTAAGTTAATAACTTACTTAACGTCAATTTCACTAATCAAAACCTCAGAATAATACCTAAAGATAAATATCACGCCAAAAGTAAAATTTTCAATAAGTACCGAATAAAAAAAAACCATATGATAGAAATATATATTAGACAATCTTAATGTCTCCTGAAAATTTACTTTATCATCATCATCAGCTTATTTATGTCCCCACTGCTGGGGCATGGGCCTTCCCTATTGATGGAATAGGGAGATTGGGCCAAGACCCACCACTCAGGCCCAGTGCGGATTAGCGGGTGTTAACGACTACAGATGCAGCCGGGACCAACGGCTTAACGTGCCTTCCGAAGCACGGAGGAACTCAAGATAGAAGATTTTTGGTCACCCATCCAATGACAGACCACTGCAAAAGTTTCTTAACTTCAACGATCGCAGCCGAACGCGCTTACCAAATTTACTTGCTGAGATGAAAAACTGCACTTACCATGAATTTATAATACCTATGCTGTTTATGTTATAAAGTAAGTATTCGTAGAGGTAGAGTATGTACATCGTACTTACAAGTAAGTGCTAAGTGTTAAGTGTTAAGAAACTTAATTTATTTATTTATTATTTATTTAATAATAAATTAGTACGTACCTGTTTTATGAACGGTTTCATAGCGGATTCTCTTCCTGCGGCTGTAGCTATCTGAAAACATAGAAATCAGAAATCAATATATCTTTATTCAAATTGGATGTATAGTACAACTCTTTTGAATCGTCCAAAAGGCTTGCTACTAGGCTTCACAAAATCAATAATTCAATAATAATAGAAACAAAAACTACTCGACGGATTTTAACGAAACTTGGTACAATTATTCCTCATACTCCTGGGCAGGTTATAGTATACTTTTCATCATGCTACAATCAATAGGAGCAGAGTAGTGAAAGGAAATGTTGGGAAAACGGGAGAAGTTACTCCATTTTTTAAGCTAACGTCGCGTGTGCAGCCTTAATGGTTAAAGTTACATAGAAATCATGTATGACGGAAATATTCTACATAAAATATCCCGCAACAGCATTTGTCTATCTTTTATGGTTGACTCACAATAACACGTGTAACTCCCGATAGCTTAGCAGTTCGGAGCATTCTGATCATATTTGTTTACTCTTAAAATACTCTGACTCATCCCTAATTTAAAAAAGTTAACATTATTACATATTCAATAAAAAAAAAACTTAGAAATCGGTATAGAAACACCAAACTTATACATGAAATAAGCCATCGCGCCGTCGCACGTGAATACTGAATCATGCTATAAGGATTATTTTTGTGTAACGGTTGCCGCGCTCGACACGGGTCGCGGCGGCGCGGCGCGGCGCAGCGGTAGGGTATCAAAAGGCGGGAGGTCCGAGAGCGAGCTGTCTAAATCTGTTTTCTGCGTCGCTCCCTCCCCTGGGGGACGATCGCTTCCGATGAAGCCTTCCCGGCCAGAGGCAGCCCCTACGGGTGTTATTTAGTCAGTACGAGTCTGACATAACATTGCAGCCGGCTGTAGGGTATCCATGAGGATTTCACATCTGCTCCCCTGCCTGGGAGGAAACAAAAAAAATAAAAAAAAGAGAGCGAGCGAGCTTTAATATTTGGCTGTTGATGCGTTTAGAGCGCTCGACCTTATTGACAGACATTAATTGATATTGAGAAACCGTGCTTATCAGCGCGACTTTTAGTCTTTAAATAGTTTATTTGAATTTCTTTTGTTGTTATTTTGTAAAATAGGTATTAGTTGTTTTGGTAGTGTTTAAATATTCATTCAAATTAAAAAATATTAAGCGTAGGTACTTTTATTAAAGTAGTTATAAGTATTTATTTTTAAGTGAAGTAGGTATAGGTAGATAGTATTGCACAGGCGTTTCAGCTTTATTTTCATTTCTTTTTTGTTGTGAGTTGTATATATTTCTGGTTATAATTCTATAAGAATATTTTAGTTTAAATAGTCACTTAGATTTTAAGTGTAAGGTAGCTAAAGTTAGGACCACGTATTAGTTGTTTTGGTAGTGTTTAAATATTCGTTCAAAGTGTAATTTAATCATATGGGATGAATGTACAATGGCCCATCGAAAAGCAGTAGAAGCGGTAGACAGAACTTTAAGGGATATAAGACAAAATGATCGACCAATGGGCGGTATCACAGTTTTATTTTGTGGTGATTTCCGACAAACCTTACCGGTAATACCACGGGGAACCCGAGCTGATGAGGTTAAGGCTTGCCTGAAAAGCTCTTATTTGTGGCGTGATATACATCGGTGCATTTGACTATAAACATGCGAGTGAGAACTGTAGATAACCCGGATGATCGTGAATTTTCGAATCCACTGCTACACCAAGGAAAACTTATTCTGACGCCTGAGTTATGTTGTATAGTGCAATCCCAACAACATCTTATATCGTCAGTTTACGGTGACGTAACAAATATATTAAATAAGGACAATTCTTGGATATGCGAAAGGTCCATTTTAATTCCTCGCAATGACCAGGCATCTGAGATTAATAATAAAATACTGTCGAATATCCAGGGGGAAAGCAAAGTTTATAGTTCAATAAATAGAATGGCCGATGAACAAGAAGCCACTAATTACCCGATAGAATTTTTAAATTCTTTAAATATGCCCGGACTTCCTTCTCATGAAATTTGTTTAAAAATTGGCATTCCGATTATTCTGCTCCGAAATTTAAGACCACCACAACTTTGCAATGGAACTCGGCTTAAAGTAACCCAGTTGCAACAAAATGTAATCGAGGTTCAAATTTCAATAGGTTGCGGTGCAGGAGAAACTATCTTTACTCCCAGAATTCCCATGATACCAAATAATTTTCCATTCCAATTTAAAAGAACGCAATTCCCAGTATCGGTGTGTTATGCAATGACAATAAATAAGGCTCAAGGGCAGACTTTTCGTGTTGCTATAGTAGATCTCGGTGTCAGTTGTTTTTCACATGGTCAGTTATATGTCGCTCTTTCCCGGGTTAGCAGTTCTAGAAATCTTTATGTTCACGTGCCGGACGGGTCAACTTTCAACTTAGTTTACCCGGAAGCTTTGCGCTGAAGTATTTTCATTTTATATGTACTTAAGCCTCATGTGAAAGTGATCTAAACAATATTACCAATACATTAACATAATAACATACAAGGAGTTACACGCTGATGATCTCGGGGCACAGTGATAATAATAATATTCTGCGGTTCCTTATTGCGATATTTTTAACAGTATTGTGGATTGACATATTATATTTCCCTACTAAAATACGAAAGTTAATCTGTCTGTCACATCAAAACCACGGAACCCTGAGGAAGGACATATGCTACTTTTTTACGAAAAACGACGAAAACGCGGACGAAGTCGCAGGCTAAAGCTAGTATTAAATAAATCATGATTGTATTGACGTTGTAACAACACAATAATTTGTAAATGTTGTTACATTATGCTTTTAATGTTGTGGAGTTTTTTTCGCTCGTTTTTCTCCGCAGCTAAAAAATATGTCCTATAACGAGTGGTAGGGAAAAAAAATGTTTGGACGATTCAAAAGTGTTGTACTATACATCCAATTTGAATAAAGATATATTGATTTCTGATTTCTGATTTGATAGAAAACCTGTTGGAATGATTGGAACAGTTCAAACCCAAGCATTTTTGTCTGTAATATAATCAGACACTTTGTAATAAGCTTTTTTAATAAGTGCTTTTTTATACTATCTTTAAATTTATTTATAGTTAACTCTTGGATATTGCTTGGGACTTTATTGTATAAGCAAACACAAAGGCCTTTAAATGAATTATTAATTTTGTGAAGCCTAGTAGCTGGTAAAGTTAGTTTATTTTTGTTTCTTGTATTAAGTGTTTGTAGAAAATACGTACTTATTTTATATGTATGTTTTATTTCATATGATACAAAAAACGAGCGAGCCTTACAGTAGTCGCGTATGTTGTGTAACATTTGAAACCTCACCTTATTATATTAGTAGAAAAAGAAATAGAACCTACTACAAAAGGAATAAGCCATTTCAACATTATGTTTTCTACTTTCGCGACTTCCTGTTACATACTTCCGTCCCATTTCACGAAATCACTCTCACAAATTGGCAGGAAAGCGAGAGTAAAGATGTTACACATCAAAATTAAAATGTATGAACATTCTGAATAATCACAATCATTTATTCAGTTTAGACTGTTACAAGCACTCATGAATGTCTAGAAGCTACGCCATCGGTTCGTAAATCTACGGCGGGAGACCTTGCACTGAGAAGAACTGGCTAGTGTTGGGTAGGACACGACTTGAAAAAGAGTTTGTAAGAGTAGCCTCTTGTTGAAGTTATACTTCTTTAGGCGCGTTATGAAAAAATGATGAGAGTGAAATTTTAAGATGCGCGCGCATCACTGTAACACAAAATTTTAACATAATGAAGTTGGTCGCTTTAGCGACCAACTTCATGCGTGTGTTTACCACCGCACATTAAGAAAATCTACCAACAAAATAGAAATAGAATCTCTATTTAGTGGGTGCTAACGACTGCATTGTGAAGGCCTATCAAAAGTATTTATTGATCTGGAACAACGGAACCAAAGCGCGATTCAGGAGACTATAGCGCCATCTCTTGACCATTGGTGTAGTAGAACCAAAAACCACATCTTTGTTTTTTGTAATAAAGTAACAAAAAGTATTTATTAATCTGGAACAACGGAACCAAAGCGCGATTCAGGAGACTACAGCGCCATCTCTTGAACATCGGTGTAGTAGAACCAAAAACCTCATCTTTATTTTTTGTAATAAAGTAACAGTTATAGGTATTCATATGTATAATATTTATCCACATGTTTCTAGTTTGTATATTCGGAATACGTGTTTGAGTTTCATACAAGTGCAAATCACATATGTTCTAATAAATTATATTCAGTAGCGATTTTAATTGAATATTTTGATTATTTATTTATTTTTTAAAATTAAAACTGAACTTTATTGACTTCGTCCTTTTCCAGACTTTTTATTAATTTATTGTAATTAATTATTTGCATGCAATTAAAAACTAATTTTAAACGATGCCAAAGAAGGATAACTTCTCACGCGCCTACATAAGTACACGCACCCATTTTTTTGTACTGAGCCAGTACAATGTCCCACTTCAAATGAGGTGAGGCGTACTGAAGCTCGGCAATACGTTTGAAGGGATGAGTAAAAATATGACTTTGAGGCGTACAGATGCTCGACATTACGTATGTGTGCACGAGTAGCACCTGGAGCGTAAGTTCTGAACGCAACCCTGGGCTGCATTTAATACCTACGCTCTGAGTGCAACTTTTACCCTGACGTTTAAATTTTGACAAATGTATGAAGCTAATGTCAACTTAGATATTTGTTACACCTAGAACGTAGGTTTTGAACGTAACCCAGTGCGACTGACAAGGATTATTTGGCGTGTGGATGACTTTGACAAGAGGGCGTTGTACTGCAAATTAATTATGGAAAACACAGTGAGACAGCATTATTTCCAGTTTGTGTCATGCGATGCGCCACAAGATCCTTGTCGCACTGTAACACAGACTACTAAGATAAGAGAGAGATAGGTACTACTGCACTGTACCGTAGAGGAATTAAATGAAATGTCATGCCTCGCTCTCTCTCAGACTAACGAAGAGTGAGTGAGTAACGAG